CGAGGGAAGAAGAGAGCGACGGCAGCGGAGAAGAGAAACAGATGAGCAGAACAGAGGACAGCGACAGTAATAACAGCAGCAGCGGGTCCTCCAGAGGAAGCTGGAGCAACAACGACAAAGAGACCCTGTGAACTGACTACCTGACCCCAGAAGCGGGGCATGGGTGGACATGAAGGGAGGGCTGGTCCGAGAGACCAGAAAGGACTGACTGTGTCTTTTGTGTGTTTTGCGCACAGTTACGGACATTGTAACAGGTATGGGTGGCCAGTGGGCCTTTGTACATGTGCGTGAGTGCAGTTTTTCTGTAACGGGATCAGTTTGGATATATATAACCATATACATATAGAGAGAGAAATATATTTTTACAAAAAAAATTGTACTTGTGTGTATGTATATATATACACATATATAATGCATATATGCACATATGTGTGTGTTTTTATATATATATATATATATATATATATATATATATATGCATGCATTATATACACACACACTACTGTAACAAATTTATAAATGTTCCATATACAGAATCTAATTATTGGAAGGGGGGGGAGGGGAGGAGGTGTCATCTTACATTTGTGGTTATCTTATATTTGAGTAAATATGGTAGTTAAATAATTTCTAATCACACCATTTTTTTTCTATTTAGGGAGATAAAGAAAGTACACAGCAGCCATTCAACCTTTTAAGTTTACCATTCAACCTCTTCAACTCTGAGAAGTTGAGTGGGGAGCACACGTACTAGTTGCTCAAGGAGAAACTTACTATACACCTTAGTTGTCAATATGTACATATGCAAAAGGTGAAAATCCCAGGAAGAAAAGAAAGTATGAATTGTTTTGTTACATTCAATTAAAAGTATTTGAAGCTTCCCAGAGCTTATTGGGAAACAAAGCTGCAAATTATATTCGAAGAGTTATAGGGGCCATTTAGCAAAGTTTTTAAAAAATTCCCACACATTAAAAAGCCCTCTTTTCCTTTTCTTGATAACACTGGCTTATCAGTACTGGAATACTCACAGTCATTGTATAACCCCAGGTCTATGAACATTTCAAGTGCTGTATTTAACATTGGCTGGCCAACATTTAACAGTTTTACCAATATAATTGTTTCAGTTAAGAGCACTACTTTACCAAAACCATGACAAGAGTAAAAAGCTTGGGATGACTGCAAACTACACCAGTATAAAAGGGCCTTCAGGGCAGTATGGCCACTGGACATTGGATCAGAACCTGGGAGACCTGGGTTCTTTTTTTAGCTTTGCTCCTGCATAATCTCAACAGTTTCCTTTGTGCCTTAGATCCCCATCTGTAAAAAGGGATTACTAATACTGACCTTCTTTGTGAAGTCCTTTGGAAAAAACAACAATCTAACTCAGCACACAGAAGCAATAGTTCTTGCTCCAAAGAACGTGGGGGTCCCAATTAATAACTCTTAACAGTTTGCTAAAGGAAGTGTGAAAGAGAAGGAGGACAAGGTAACAATAAGTAGAGAACAAAATTTAAGTTACTCAGTGTCTAATCCAGCAGTTCTCAACCTTTATAGACTATAGGCATCCCTTCAAGAGTTTTCAAATTTTAGCAACACCCAATTAAAAAAATTAAAATACACGTATCATAATATAAGATGACAATTCTATTATTGTGTTGGTAATTGATTAGGTCATTAAATTATATTAACCCCAGTGCCATGCCTGCTGCAGCCAGGTGGAACTGGACTTTCTGCCTCCTGAAGAGCTGGATCAGGAAGCAGCTGTAGCAGGAGCATATCCTCTTGCCACAGCCCTTCCCAATCCAACCCCACAGTGTTTCTCAGAAACAAATGCATTCACAGCAAGTGTGACTGTTACAGTGTTTCTCAGAAACAAATGCATTCACAGTAAGTGTCACTGTCCCCCAAGCCTGTTTTTAGGAGGTACATCACAGCCAATCTGACAAGCGGCTCCAACAAAAAGACAAGTCTACCTGCATTACACTATGCAGGCAGGCATGCTGTTTCTATTGCAGCTATTTCCGGTTCATCTCCAGTGTGCCTCCTGCAAACAGAGGTTCTACCTGGTGACAGCAGCATTTATCTCCAGACGACAGCAGCATTTATCCCTGGGCTGCTACTGCTACAGGATGAAACTTCCCCACACACCTGCAGGGAGGCGCAGCTTTTTGCTCCAGCTGCTTGTCAGTTCAGCTTCAACGTGCCTCCTGAAAACCGAGGCACACGGGGCAATTTCATCATGTGGCAGCAGTGCTGGAGTTGCAGCACTTCTGGCAGAGTTCTCACAACACCCCAGTTGAGAACAACTGGCCTAAACAAACTAGACAAGAAACTAGAGTCTACACCTTTTTTAGTCCTGCTACCAACATTCCCAAAGTGAAGGCTTAATCTACACAGCAGGACTACTGCTGCTTTAACTATGGTGGCAGGGCTAAGACACCTGTGATGTGGGCAGCCAGCTCAGGAAAAAAGGAGTTATGCAAACTTTCCTGAATGGTTGAATCTCTGCTGGGCACTAGCTGAAACCTACAGCTCAATTCGGGGATTTTGCTGGTACAGCTATGCTGGCTACTGGGCATGAACATTTCATACCCCTAGCTGATATAGCTTTGCTGGAAGAACTCTGTAAGGTAGACAAGGCCAAAGTTTGATTTTTACTACCACTAATCTAGTATAGTGTTTCACTTGGGTTATACCAAGTCTCTGGAACTCTTTGGTGAAAAGTGCTGAGCTTCTGATACAAGCATGTGTTCATACGTGGCAAGTCTGGAATAAATATAAAATGACTTCTAAAAGCATTAGCTAGCAAAAGAGATAATGACATCCAGGATAAAGGAAGACCAGGATAAAGGATTAATACTACATAGGTGCAGTGTAAGCAAACTCTAAATACAAATGCCCCCATTAACTGACAGTACAAAACTCTAGTAGTTACATAAATAAAAAGTCTCCCTGAGAAAATCAATGAGCTTCTTAAAAACACAGACAGCCTTTTTATCTTTGTATTGCAAACATTTTGAGACAGAGATGGTGCTTCCTTTTTGGAAAGCTTGCAGAATGTTGTTGGAAATAAGTACCAGAAATAAACAGTGTTATCCTACAGTAATTCAGATTTATCACGATGAAAAGGTCATTGTGGATCAGTTGAATTCAAGGTATACTGCTTGGCAAAGTTGATGAGTTATTCCACATCAGATCCCCAAAGGTGACGTGCAAACCACACAGAAGACAGCTGAGCTTTTACAGAATATGTCCTAGTGTTCCAATGCAGTGCTGTTCAACCTCTGGCCCACAGGCCATGTCACCTGGCCAGTGGAGCTGTCCATGAATCCAGAAATTTGGCAACAAGGGAGTGGTGGCAGCATTAATTGCCACCACTCCACCACGGCCAAATTTCTTGACTCATGGTGAGCAGCGTTCCCTCTAAGCTATGTGGTGTGCGCAGCTGCACAGGCGCACTCATGCTATGCTGTCAGGCATGCCTGCGCGGCCACACACACCACACAGCTTAGAGGGAACGCTGATGGGGAGCCCTCCAGGCATAATGATAGAGCCCTGTGTGCCAGACTGCACCAATGTGCAGGGTCACTCCATGGCCAGATCCAGCATGTGGGGCCAGGCCAGCACACAGGGTCACTCCACAGTAAGATCCAGGGCATGAGGTCAGGCCAGGTTGGTGCATGGGATTGGTTTTTGGCCAGATCCAGCGCTCAGGGCTCGGCTGAAGCTCTGGATTGAACCTGCAAAACAGCTCCACATGCCTATTCCATGATGGGTCTGGCCCAACAACTGGCTCCGTCATGAGCACCCAGAGGCCCCAACCGCCACTCCTGCAGCTGATGAGTGCAGGGCTTTTTTGTTTTTTGTTGTGTTTTTTTTAAAGTGCCAGGACTGGGCAGGGGCTGGGGCTGGGCAGGGGCAGCCGTGAGGGCTTTTCCTGCGGCTCCCCCCGCCCAGGGAGAGGCAGGCACAGCGGGAGAACCTGCAACCGCCTGGTTGTGCCTGCCTCTTCTCGGCCAATCCAAATCTCTGAAACAGCGTCAAAACTCCACAACAAGATTCAGCTGAATCGAAACGAAGCAGTGATCTAAAACACTGAAATGAATCACTGTTATCCAAAATGGCTGAATCCAAAATCGAAACAAGACATAGCCGTTTCGCACAGCCCTAATCTGTGCATATACATCATATAGCAGCTGTATTATCTATAAAAAACTGCTTTATCAAGTCTAGAATAGGTTGAGTTCCCATTCAAAACAAACTGACATGCCTAAGCCTACAATATTCACCTTGGTTCCAGGTTTTTATTGTAATAGCTTATATAGTCTACTCAGGTCCATGGTAGAACAAAGATATTCTTCCTTCTTTGAGATTAATTAGAAGCCTCTGAGATTAGAAGAAGCCCTCCCTCTGTCCTCTTGGGGAACCTCTTCTCTTGCTCCTGGACAAAGCTATGAAACTATTTTGGGGGGATAAGAAGGGTCTCTGAAGATGGATAGGGCAGCCATGAATGACTACATCCACCATCTATTTGTCTCACCTTGTATCAGACCACACCTGGCAGAACAAGGCAAAATAGTTCCTAGAGGTAGTTGCCGACTCCTGATCAGTTCTGATATAAACCCTGATATTTCAGTTAAATTGCTTACGCAACTAACAAGGAGGTGTGTGAAAGAAGGCAGATGACAGCAGCTTTTTCTGATATCACCATCATTTCTATTGCTCATAGTCTGGCTTTCTGCCTTGGGAGGTGCATCTGTTGCCTCAGAAGGTATTTGTAGGGCTTCCTGTAGATGGACAGTATCTAAATCACAGGGGATTTCATGATGTTCCCCAGGTTTTCAGAGTGGGCTACTCTGCATTAAACTGAAGAGCTCCACCCCTTTGAAAGTTAAGTCTTACAAATATTATGCACTGAAGAGCTCCACCCCTTTGAAAGTTAAGTCAAACAAATATTATGCCCCTTCCACAGTATTCCCATAGCCAGAAGCCAGGGGGCTTACGTTCTGGTCATAGCTGTGGTCATCAACTTGCAATCATGTCCAAAGCATCCATGGATCTGGCAACTACCTAGCTCTTCATCTCCTCCTCAGCATCTTGGGCAAGCCTGGGTAAAAAGGGACTCATCATCTCCTATGTTAACAAATTGCACCTGACAAATAATGCTTGATAATTTACCACAGATAGTTGCTATAAGGCTGGCAATAGATGTTAACCTTAAACAGGAATGACTTGTGAAATTTTTGGAAGGACTGCATAGCATTTTTCCACCTTCTCAGAGAATGTCTGAACAGTGGTACAAGTTTGCTAGAAGCCTCTGGCCCAGTTCCATTATGACCTCATTAATGTAGAGGGTGATCTTGATGGGAATTGAGAAAGCAGTCATAATGTTAAAGTGTTTGTGTAAACTTCCCCCTGAATGGCCATTACTTCTACACACAGTGTTATTACAATAACATTTCACGATCTCCTAAAATGCCTGAACTTGTCAATCCACAGGGCAGACTAATTGAACTGCCTGGAGATAAAAGATTCTTTCAGTGGGGACTGCTGAGTACTAGCTTCAAGTTCTGATATCAACGGTCTGGGCAGTGACATCCCTCAAGAGCCTGCTCTCCTTTTACTGGGTTGGTAGGAAGAAAGAGTAACAGGTTAGATATTTACTGTCAGTGGCACTGACAACAAAAGAAAACTGAAGAGAATCATAGCCCTTTATAATTCCGCCTGGGAGCCCAGGATGGAACAGCATGCACGCATACACCAGACAGATGCTGTTGTTCAAAAGACTCCAGTTTCACACATACAGGATGCATACACATGTAATGGAGGTCTACAATGTCAAGTGTTCTATTGGAAACTTCACATCAGTTATCAACACTGCAGACATTACTCTTGTGAGATAAGGAGCCAATATTGAAGCTCAGTAGCCAAAAAAAACAGCCATTCTAAGGGATTTCTATATGGATTTTACAAAGTGCATTACTAGATTTGGAATGTAAGACCTCTAGCAAGATGCTAATTTAAACAAAAAATAAATAAACTACATGGACTTTGATTGTATTTGTTTTTGATTTGATAAAGAAGCCAACTTTTACAAGAAAGACATTTCAGGATATTATTTGTAAGTTGTATTCCAGTAAAGGCTAGAGGTGTCACCTAAGATTGTGACAGGCACCATACAAACATATAATAAGAAAGAAAAATTCCTGTTCCAAGTATGTTACACTCCATGTAGACAATACAGATGCAGGATGGTGGGGAGAAATAAGAGTAACGAGGAAGGTAATGACTTGCCCAAGGTCACAGAAATGATGACGGCTAAACCCAGAACAAGAACTCAGATCTCCTGACTACCTGTGCCCAGCCCAGCTTATCTGCTATATCATGTTGCTTTCCAAGGAAAACATTCAGGTTATTTCCTTTCCTCTTATTCCTCACAAACACATTGTAGAATTATGATCATTAGCTTCCCCCCAAAGATTCTTCCCATGCAATATACTAGAAATCCAGCCTACCATGCATCATTTAACAATTATACAAAGCCATTATACGTGATGCAGACCCCACCATTGGTGCTGCCCCTCAGCAGTGTGAAGCAGAGATGGAAAGGCTTTTGTCATTTTCTATTGCTCTATTGAACTGAATGGCTTGTTCATGTGGTGAAGGATGTTTGGGTTCTGGGAGAGCCGTGGCTTACCTGGGGGAGAGGAAGCTGCAAACAAGTGGGTCTGAAACTGGGGAGTGAGGAATATGGCAAAAGGTTTTCTGTCACACAAGACCCAGATGTGAACGGATCGTGGGAAGATTGGGAAGTGTGGTTGGGATGGGTGGAGGGTGAGGCTCTCCTGGATGAGAGGCAGGGAAACAGGACTGGCTGGGGGGAAGTTGTTTGGGTTTTTAGGTATCATTTGGGAAGTCTGTTTCTGTTTCACACCTTGGGGGTTTTATTGTAAGCGATGCTGAGCCTTCTTTGGATAGGGTGGCATATACATTTTTAAAAAATTAAATAAATAAATATCAGCAGCATATGGATGACATAAGTTTTATGTCAACTTTTTAATTCATACACATAGCAAATTTAGGGACACAATACCTAAATGAATTGGGAACCTTAAAAAATAATCAGCTGAAGAGCCCTTTAGTATACAAGGAAAATCAGGACTATTTCTCACTAGCTAGATCTGAAACTTGAGGAAAGATAAGTTTCTTATGATGCTAAGATTTTATTTCTCGAGTAACCAAGCCATGACTTAAACACTGTCCTGTTTTTGACAGCTTCTTTTTCAAAACATGTGGTTTAATGATCACATAGCATTTAGAACAAAGGTAATCTAATCAAATAATATATTAACTTTCACCTAAGAGGACCTAACTGCAAGTCTGCTTGACGTTACAAGTGAAGTATACTGACTTTCACCTGCACTGTAGCAAATATTTGCTTGTTTCAAGCAAATCATCTGATCACTTTGAAGAACTTCTCTCATGGAAAAGCTGGGTCAGTCTTACTGCAACAACAGTGTTTCAATTCATACTCTTCTGTAAGGATGCTTCTCCAGTGATTTGAGGACACAGTAATGAAAATAGAGAGATTATTCTTCTATTTATTATATAGAACCCATAAATCTACTGTGCACTTCTCAAAAGCTACATGCCTAAGCATATCACTTATGTAGCTTACAAGCACTATAATTCTTGCATAAAATTTGGAAGCAAAGAAATTAGGTCTTTGATATAGCACCTATGTTAAAAGAAATTAAGTTTTTGACTGCTTGACTTTGCAAGCCAGAAAATATATGCATTCAGGTTGCCCTAAATGAACCACACCTACATACATTCATTATACAGTCTTTACTATTATAATTACATATAACTGCACATGTAACTTTTAATCCTTAATTTTGCATGTTTGTATTACCAAACCTTTTTTGTTTTACTATCTAAATGACTTAGGTGAGCAAACAAATGATATCATGTAAGCTGTCATTAAGAAACATCTACCTAGTCTTCGGTTAGAAAAATGCATCCGATAATGAAAAAGTGTGAAAAAAAATCCACAATGGCCTCTCACTGTGTCATCTGCAGGGTTAGGGACCTTTGCCACTTGAGTTAAGAGTAGCTGGTAGCCATAAAAAGCTGCAGTCCTCTAGGCAAGATAACTGCTATATGGGAACGTTTTGCTCTCATTGTCATTTGAATCAGAATTTCATCCATGATGTGTCTGCATGAAATCAGATAATAGTTATACCTAGGAGTCTACCAAACTCAAGGAGGTGGCTGGCCAATTTTGCAGGCAGATCCTTGAGCCAGCCACCATTTTTGTGGGCTGAGTGCTGCGGGGCCCCCCACACCTCTGGTTGGCTGAGAGGCCCCAGAAGTCCCACCCCTTCCTGCAGACTGCTACATGCTCTGAACCAGTGGCTTAATTACCCCGCTAAGCCTAGGGAAGCCATTAATCCACATGTTATTAAGCATCAATTAATGACTTCCTGGGCTTAATCAGGGTAATTAAGTTGTGGTTTCAAGCCATCCCCAAGGAGCGGGCTCCCCATTTCTGGTGGGGTCACTGCAAAAAAAATAAAGTAAACTTACCAGCAAGCAGAGAAAAGCATGTTGGAAGCCCTGAAGTCTTGGGTCGGGGGAGGTAGAGGCGGAGGGCAGGGGGGAGGGAAAGCAGGGGGGCAGGCAGGACTGCTTCAGCCCCTCCACCTCTCCCACCCCCTCCCCCAGACCTCTCCCCTCTGCCTTCCCCTCTCCCCAAACCCCAAGACTGCAGAGTTTCCCATACACTTTTCTCTGCTTGCTGGTAGGTTGAGGTGGGGGGGTTATTTATTTATTTTTTTTGCAGCAAGTCCACCAAAAGCACGGCATCTGTGCTTTTTTCGCAGAGCCCACCCAAAATTACAGTTTCTGCGAAAATAGCACAATTGGAATTTTGGTAGGTCCCTAGTTATATCATAACAAAAGATCCTGCTTAAATATAACATGAATATGTACTCAACTGAACTACAGAAGTAGATGCATCAGTTCTACTTCCTCCACATCAGGACTGTATTATTTGTATAGTTATTAATTTATGTTTATTTCTTAAAACAAAAACAAAAACCTATTCTAAAACATGTATTCTCCTACTTTGCTCTATGAGAAAATTTTAGAGATATCAACCTTACTACTTAATCTTATCTGATATGAGAGAAATCCTTGGGTAGGTTTTAATTTCAAGTTTTTAAGTCTTTCATTACTGGGTGCCACAGAAGAATGGAACTCTTTGCTTTTAAATGTTGACACATATTTTAAAGTCATTTACATAAAGGAAAGCAACTATTTTTAGCTGGCAGACTAAAAAATATATTGTATAACTCAAGTGCCCCTAAATGACAAAATGCTTAAGTTTTATATCATCAGTCATCAGGTTTTCAGACACATGAAATGATTAAACCAACTCAACTGGAATTACATAAAACTGATCGTTGCCCTACTAAGAAAATGTATATATTATTACACTAACTTAATTACTCTTACATAGCCACTGAGTCACACTGTGCCTTGCCCTTAAGCCCAAATACATAAGAAATATGGGTGAGAGTTGACAAAACAAACAACATTCCTGCAACTGCCTAGTACCGGAATCCAAGACAACTTTGAATTTAAGACAACCTCCAATAATTAGTTTCTATGCATGGAAAAATTATGTTTGTTATAATTTTCCATGTATAGATTCTAATTGTTGAAGAGTCATTTAAAATTCATTTTAAATTCAAATTTAGCAATTACCTACCTGGTGCCCCCCCCTGCCACTTGCTCCCCTTGCTTTCACTTACCCTGCAGTAGCTTCAGCTGTCCCCAGGCCCTGCCCAGATAGCAGTGGCACTGGCAGCTGCAGCTCCAGCCCTGGCCAGGTCAGGACCAGAGCCACTGCAGCTCCCCTGCATGCTCCCTGTGCCACATACCACATTCTTCCCCATAGTCACCCCCTGACATCTTCCCTATGTGGTCCCCTCCATTCCTCTAGTCTCCTCCTGCACTCCTCCCCATGGTCTCCTTTGCATCCCCTAACCCCACACCACACCACACAGTCTCCCCAGCTCCCCCCATCTTGCACTGCGCTGTCTCCTAAACGCCCCCCTCCAACTCTGAGCACACTCCCCAGCACCTTCCCTCCCTGCACTCCCCACCACTGTGTGGTCTTCCCCATGCCCCCCCACCGCACAAGCCACCTCAACCTGATATAAGTATATCAGGGGTGTGCATCAGGATCTGGGAGAATATCTGTCCGCCTGGGCACCAAGGAAAGACGAGGTCCAATGTTCACAAATTGCTGGAAGACAAGTTTTTGCTTATGCCCAATCTAAAATACTTTACGTCTGAGTCTCCAGAGTCTGAAATGGACTCCCCCCAGAAGTGGTGCAAGCATCTGACCCCAACTGACTTCCTGCCCTTTGCGCAGGGGGCTGGACTCAATGATCTCATGAAGTCCCTTCCAGCCTTAATGTCTATGAAACCTATGAAACCCACTCTGGCCCCAGCAAGGCAGCAGCAGCTCCAACCATGGCCCTCAAATACAATACAAGACCCGTCTCCCCACATTAAATGGGGAAAAATCTTCATCTTGGATTTGAGTAAATATACTATATAATAAAGTTAGAGTGGACACTATGAAATTATGTTCCAATAATGCTTCAAATAATTCTTTAATATTTCTCCAAGCTTCATATCATACTATTCCTAAAACACAGCCTAGGCCAGATATATGATACAATCTCTGGTCAGGGAAGTGAGGAAGTGGGGTTTGTGACCAAAGCTGTGTTGGCGAAAATGAACAGCATTGATGCCTTTTTATTGTACATTTTATTTTAATACACTGGAAAGAGCAGGGTAGGGTATGAAAAAAGTACTAAGAAAAGGGCAGATTTATTGGTATAAGTCACACCCACAATAAAAGTGTTTTGCTGGTACAGTAACTGGTATAACTATCCCACTGAATCAACCCCAGTATGAGCCTGTCCTCACACTTCATGATGTTCCCCAAACAGAATGTTGAAACCAGACCTTTTCAAAGGGTAAAATTCACTTTTACCTGCAGAGAGACAATGTAATCAAGCAATCAAGTAATTAGGAGAAGGAAACAGGCCAGACTACAAGGTGAAGGGTAGCCATTGCTCCTTACTCAGATTCTATACACTGTGACCCACTGCCCCTTCTAGATAAGACCTGTTCACAACCTGCAAAGAGCTTTCTTCCTGACAAGCTGTGATAAGAAATTCTCTAGCCCAAGGCTCAGCAACATTTTCTGGCAGCAGGCTAGAATCACCCAGCTCGGATCCAAAGCTAGGACCCTGCTGCTACCACAACTTCTCCCCCGGCCACTTTTTTGCCACTTAGCTGCAGTGTAGCACAGGCAAAGTCCCTGCTCCACTGAATGCCAGGGAGTTCCCAGTCCATGAGCTTCATGGGTTGACATCCCCTGATCTAGCCCATCTGCTTGCTCTACTCCCCAGAACCCACATCCTGCAGAAGAGCACCACAAGATTTAGATGGTACACAGGGCTTTGGATGATTTGTATCACTATTACACATGGGTTTACCATGTTATTTCAGTATGACAAGCAAGCCCCAACTGAACAGAATAAAAAAAAGAAAAAACTTGGTAAAAGGACTACCCCTGCTCCAAGTATAGCTACATTAACGATACGATTCAGCAAATTAGTATAATATAGGCTGATGGGGTGGAGGGAGGATGAGGCAACACTAATAAGAGGATATGTACATAGGCTAGTGATGCAAGAACTGTTGTTCACCATCTGCCAAGCTTTTAACAGGTAGGGTACTCTAAGTTTCATAGCCAGCGGCTGATAAAATGCTGCAGGGAAGAAACAGCCACCAATGAAGGAAGGTGACAAATTGACAAGCAATGAAGACTGCTTTGGCAGAAGCAGCGTGTAAAATGGATTTGAGGAAGGCAAGGATCCAAAAAATGAGATTACAGTAGTCACGATGCAAGAAAAGACTGGACATGGAGAAAGGGCTAGAAGAGGGTCAGATTATTTTGATTCAAAATTGCTTTTGAATGATCTAAAAACTGCCTTTTATAGCAAGAACTCTCTCCTTTCCTCACCCAACCACATATGCCATTCTAGTCAACATTTAAGAGCAGCTCCTGGGACTGTCCAGGGGCCCGCAGGACCAAAAAAGACCACTGCTCATCTGTGTCATGCCCTTCACTGGCCGCACGCACCGGTGATTGGTGCCTGAGTGCCCGATCTTCTAGCATACAGGGCCATGCTATCTGGCCCACAGAAGTGCTGCACAGGCCTGGAAATTTGGCAGCAGGGGAGCAGCAAACTTTCCCCGTCACCAAATTTTCAAACTTGTGGGCAGCCCCACAGGCCAAAAAAAGAGGCTCTGGGAGCTGGGTCTGGCCCACAGGCTGAGCATCCCCAGTCTAGAGCGAGTAACCTCCAATTAGAAAACGTATTGTTGAGGTTAAACTGCCTGGCTGTTATTTTCTTCAATTCAGCCAAGCGCCCCAAAAGCCGCACAATGGGTACACGCAGGCTCTTGTCCTGACTGCTTTCACGCAAACCAGCGCCCACATCTTGAGGTGCTGTTCAGCCCCGCGGACCTGTTCCTGCTCGTTGCTCCTGCTCACTGCCCGGAGCTTTTCTTAGCTTATCGTTTGGGCAGCAAAAACGGAAGGGGGGGGCAGGTGGGAAGACGCCGAGCTCCATCCTCCCCGATGTGTCCCGGGGGTTTAAGACCACCCCCCCGGCCCCGCAGCGGCGAGGGCCGCGCTGCCCAGCACTGTCGCGGCTGCAGCACTTCCCCCCCGGGGCACTGCGGGCAGCGCGGGGGCGGGGGCCGGGGTCCAGGCGCTGCCCGCCCCGCGCGCGCCCCGCCGCCGCCGCGGCGGGACCCGAGCCGAGGCGGGCGGCGCGCGGGGGATGCCGGGAGCCGCCCGGCGATTGCGACAGCAGCGCCCGCCCCCGGGCCCGGGGCCGGGGCCGGGCCGGGCCGGGCGGTGGGAAGCCTCGGACAACAGACGGCGCCTCGGGGAGAGCTGTCACCTGTCACCAAGGTGAAGGTTGTCCTTCACCCGAGGGCTGGTCCTGCTCACAGGCCTGCAGCGCCCTGGTACAAGGTGGGGATTAAAAGCTTTTTCAGCATTTTGCTGCAAGTTTGTTAAGTGATGCTCTGACTTGTGAGGAGGAGGGGACTTTTCATCCAGTCCCATATGACGTGCTCACAGGTGACCTGGAGAAACGCAGACCAGATAACATGACGCTGAGGTGGAGAGGTGACTGGTCCTGTACCCGCCAGCGAAGGGCAAGGCCGAATGGGCAAGGGTCGGACCGGCAGGTGTCCCACAGCGGTCCGGGGTCCTCTGCTAGCAAGCGATGCCCGAGCAAAGAGCTTCCTGATCAAGCTGGCAGATGACACCGCACTGGGAAGGACTGGGAACACGGTGGAGGATAGGAGTAGCATTCAGACACGGCTCTGGATAGCTTGGGCTGGAGACAACAGAAGGAAGTTCAGTGCAGACAGACGTAAGATGCTGCAGCTGGGGAAGAATGATTAAATAAACAATGGGAGATAACTAGGTGGGTGGCAGCCTTCCCAGTCTTGCTAGGAAGAATCTAGGGCAATGATTTTCAGCCTTTTTAAGACTTGAGGTGCCCCTTGGAGAATGCCAGCTCATAGTTTTCACTTGTTTTTTTTACTACAAATAAGAAAACAGAGCAATTTGTTTGTTGCAAAGAAGCCAGAAAGACCACAACAGGCCTGAATGGTTTTGACACTGTGGATTCATATTTGGAACCTGAGTTTACCTTGTGACTCCTGCGTGCATATCCAACCATGCTAATATTGTGTGGCACTCTGGCTACGAATCACTGATACAGGAGTTTTGATGGATCACAGACTCGAGTCATCAACGTGGCACAATTACAAAATTTTGTACTATATCAACAGGAGTATTAAGTGTAAGACACGAGAGGTAGGAGTACCACTCTACCTGGTATTGGTTGTACCAGAATACTGTGTTCAGTCCACATTTTAAGAAGAATATGGAGAAGTTAGGGTTTCAGAGGCAGGTGACAAAAATGATAAAGGGGTTAGGAGGCAGGCCATATGGGGAAAGCTTAGAGAAAAGGAGATTAAGTGGGGACATGATAGCAATCTTCAAATATTTGAAAGGCTGCCATAAAAGTGAAAATGACTGTTCACCCTTGCCCCAGAGGACAGGACACAAATCAATAGCTTTAAATTGCAGCAAAGTAGATTCAGATTAGATATCAGGAAAAATTTCCTCATTGTTAGAATAGTAAGGCAGTGCAATAGACTGCACAGGGGTACTGGACAACAGGGATACAAGCACTGATGAGGAATAGCCTCAGAGTAGCATTCTGGCATGTGTACAGGGGTTCAGACAGATTAACCCTTGAGGTCCCTTCCAACCCTATAATTCTATGACATACCCAAAGCGGATACCATCAGAGTATCATCTAACTAGATAATTGAAGAAATGGTTTGTGTGGACACAGTTGCAGCAGTGTAGATGTGCTTTATAACTCTATAACTACTTTCTTATAGAAAAGAGAAAAACTCTACCAGTGTATCAGGTCTACATGAGAAAAGTTTTGCTTGTATCACTATACTAGCAAATACTCTTAGTATAGATGCAGTTATGCTATCAAAAAGTGTTTTGCTGGTGGAGGTTATGTCAATCTGAAAACCAAAAAAAGTGATACCAGCAAAAGCAGTTACTACACTACAGCTATTTACTGGTTGTGAAATATCACCAAACTCAAATTCCTTGCCAACATTTTTAAGCTGGCAATGCTTTCAGTGTACCTATATAACTTAGACCACAGTAGAACTTTCACTGGTATAATTATTTCAAAGTGGGAAAGGAAATTGCATCCTCTCACCAAAATAGTTACAGTAGTGTAGACAGGCCCTTGCTAGGATCTCGTGAGGATGTGGTGGTGCAATTGCATTCACTTCCGGCTGTTATACATGAACTCTCAGTGTGGAGTGCGCCCAGACCTCCTGCTTTCATGTGGCTTCAGGGCCCAGAGTGTAAGTGCTGCTGCCCACCTCTCTACCCTGCTGCTGAAATCAGAGGGGAGGGTGAGAGAAGGGAAAGGCTAACAGCAGTAGCAGTCCCCAGGCTCCAGAGCCCTACAAAAATGGTGACTCTGGCCAGACCCTGTCCTCACTGGTTATATGGAGCTCCAGTAGGCACTCATACTGACCAGGCAGTGAGCTCAAAACTCATTGCACAGGCCATGGCACTGCCAAATTAGGTGACTGCATTCTCCCTTGGCCCCTTCTTGAATATGCTTCTGCTAGAATTGGCTTGTCAACTTTTCTGGGGGAGAGAGGGAGAGTGTTCATATGCAGACTTACTTTGAAATAGCTGCATGGCTTTCAGTTCACACCTTTGCAAGTCAGCATGTAGACTAACCCTCAGACAGATAACCCTGGAAAGCCTCACTACAGAATTTGCCCTGAGTAGATGAACCAGTTGCTCTATTCTAGTTGCAGCATACACACACTTGCCCTTTACTTTTGGAAAAATCTACTCAATTCCCTTCCCCAGCTGGCATACTATAGGAATTTGCACTGGATGCAAAAGAAAGTACTAGGAAGAGGTAAAAGCAATCACATGCCCAGGAGTGCTTCCATTGTTTCCATTCCCCCAGTTTTCTAGGCTTCTCTGTCATTCTTCAGTATGAATGATATAGTGCATCTGCCTTTTGCTTCTCTTGCATTATCAGGCACCATACACTCTCGGGAAATTTAAGATGACCCAGTCCCTAGAGTTTCAGAGCATCGTTATTATATAAAATTAAAGTGGACAGAGAGAGAGGGCATACATTTTTTAGATTATTTCTAGAGTATTGGATTCCGAGTATTGGATTCATGTCCTTTCCCCCCACCCCAACTTTATATGTGACTTTGGGTAAGTCAGAAAACTCACAATGATTCAGTGTTTACATATGTTAAATTAAGATCACAGAAGTGCTTTGAGGAATAAATAGAGTTGGAGTGTTGTTATAGCCATAACTAGCAAATTGCCTCTCATGAATGATGGGGAGGGAGCAGGCAGGGATGGAGCACTGCCACTCTGTCTCCGGCCCTGTGGCCCCCCCCACCCCCTGTGTCCCCCATCCTCTGCTCCTGTTTGTCTGCTGGAGTGGGGCGTGGCCGCCCCTTGGATGTGGCGG